TGAAATTTTACTATGTTAAAATTAAAACCTTCCTTTTTATTTAGACAGATGTAGGACTCCTCTCTGCGTACTATGAATATGCTTTATTATCATTGGTTATTAAAGAAGCTGTTTTAGCCAATAGCTAAGTAGAGTAAAGCCAGGCAGGAAATCTGAACAGAGATATAGAAAGTAGGTAGAGTCAGGGAGAGACCATATAGCTGCCAAAGGAGAAACGTGCCAGACACCAGCCAGAACATTACCAATAGGCCGCAGCCTCATGGTGATTCATAGACTGATAACAATGGGTTAATTTAAGATGTAAGAGTTAGCTAGAAATATGCCTAAGTTATTAGCCAAACAGTACTGTAATTAACATAGTTTCTGTGTGATTATTTGCATCCAGGTGACTGGGAAATGAATGAGCGGTCTCCATCTACAGTCCTGGGTTGTATAGAATATAAGCTGAGATGACCATGGGAGCAAGCCAGTAAGCAGTGTTTCTCAGGGGTCTTTTTTCAGTTCCTGCCTCTACGTTCCTTCATTAAGCTCCTGCTCTGCTCCTTTCAATGATGGACTGTGGTCTGTAAGTGGAAATCAACTGTTTTCTCCCCAGGTTGTTCATGGTGGGTGTTTTCTCTTAGCAATGAAAAGTATGCCAGGCCATCACGTAACTGCTCAAGAAACATATAGATATTTATTTTCATGGAAACTCCTGCCACATCACTGAATTGAGATAACATGGATAATGCTGATCACTAGGTTTTATGTTTGGCAAAGTAAACAGGATCAGTCAGACTAGATCAATCATATTTAACTTAGGAAAGTAAAATGTCTAGTGCTCACACTTTGAATAGATCTAATTAGCATAAGCTTTTGGATACCTGGATATAATGCTATTTCATTTGTATTTTAATAAATAAAGCTAACCTGAAGGTCAGGAAAGCAAAACAGCCAGCTGTTTTGAGTGTAAGAGCCACATTGGCTATTACCTCTAGCTCAGTTCAAAATGGCGATCCTGCCTCCAGGAATCTCAGAATGAGACTGATGTTTCCTCCTGTTTTATAATCCTCTCTAGTTTTGGGATTAAGGGCAGGCACCACTACTGCCTGGTTTCTGTGGTCTGGTTTCTATGATCTATAAGGATGATCACTGTGGCTGTTTTACTCTCTGAACTTCAGTCAAGTTTTATTTATTAAAATGCAAATGAAATATGACTAGATTTCCCCTTTTTGTCTAAAGTAAAAAAGGAAAAGTCTATAACTAATATAAGAAAAACTATATACAACAAATATCAGTACACCCAGAAGTTTTGTGCCAGATCCCACGGTGACCAGACTTAATTTAGCTCACCTTCTGCCTGGGCAAGCTCCAGCTTTAATTGTTGTGTTTATAGCCACAGAAACACTGCATTTACTGCTGATTGTGAGTCTTGTTTTGATGAGCTGAGCTGAGTTTCTGAAAGCCAGTAACCAAACTGGTAAACTAAGCCTAATACTTTGGATTTTAATATAACTTTTCATTCCATGTTTCAGCAAGTAGGGATTATTGTTCAGTCTTTGAGAATTCCCCTTTGTCTACATTTGATGACATGTGTGAGCCCAGCCACCCAGTGACCTCAGCTTCAGGAAGTCTATCCACTGACTCAGACTCAGAGGGTGCCCAGGCACCTGGCAGATTCAGGGTGTGAGAGTTACTATGGATAAATAAAGCTCATGCATTGAATGTTGTTGTAGGAGGCCACTTGTTCATCCCGACTGCCCAGAACCAAAATAGTCATACAGAAACCATATTATTTACAATACTGCCTGGCCAATAGCATATTTCTGACTAACTCATTAATTAATTAACATTCCATTAATCTGTGTATTGCCATGAAGCCATGGCCTACTGGCTAAAGTTCCAGTGTCTGTCTCTGGCGAGGCTACAAGGCTTCTTTCTCACTCAGCCTTCTTTCTCCCGGCATTCAGTTTAGTTTTCCCCACTTAACTCTGTCATGCTCTGCTCTGCTATAGGCTCAAAGCAGTTTCTTTATTCATTAACCAATAAAAGCAACACATAGACAGAAGGACCTCCCACACCAGAATGCTAAACTTAAATAAGGGAAACCACACCTCTTTTCAGGATCTCCACACTCTCTCAAGCTCTCACCCCTAACCGCTGAACAGGAAACTAGGGAAAGGAAGCACTCCTGCATTCTTTTGCATTTGAATATTCTGCTATACTCTAGAATAAACTTTGGGTAAACTGTCATATGAAAATCTGTCCCCTCAGGAGCAGTGGGGTGGGAAACATTCCACCCTATATCAACTTTAGAAATGATACATTGAAAGGAAAGACATCGAGAAGGGTAGGTAGGGATCAGTACAAAAGTGCTAGTATCCAAAGAAGAAGGGCATGATCCCCCCAGGGCTTGAAATGTGAACAAAGTGGGGAGATAGCTCAGTTGGTAAAGTGTTTGTCTGCAAGTGTGAGGATCAGAATCCAGCCCCCAGAACCCACCTAGAAGAGCACACATTGTTCATTCACTTGAAGTCCCAGTGCTGGGGAGGCAGAGACAGAGACCCTTGAGGCTCTTTGGCCAAACCAACCTAAGCCTGCTCAGCAGGTTCCAGATCATGTTCAAGAACAAGGTAGATGACATCTGAGGAACAGCACCCCAAATTGCGCTCTGACTTAGAAACAGACACACACGTGCACATGTAAATACTTTCTCCAGAAGGCAAGTGATTGGGTGAGTGGGTCTATGGAAAGCATAGCAGAGCAAGGGTTCCACAGTGACAGCATGGTGGCTCTGTTTGCCATGGCTACTGTGGGGAAGGTGGAGTATGACGTCCCCCACACAAGACAGCAGGTTTCAGCTGTCCTCAGTTGCTTGCTATTTCATCTAGGGTTGAGGGCTGGTGGTATCTCCCTGTCTACTTTAGCACATCTATTGTTCTTGTTTAGCTTGTTTAGACGGTCATGTTGATGAGCCTTTATAGGCATAGCTTCTGAGATTCCAAGGAGATACAATATCACAGCAGACTCTGCCTTTTCCCACAATGATTCCTGAATTTTAGGCAAGGGGATGTTTTGTTGATGTATCTACTGCAGTTGGGCTTCATGACTCTGTGTTTTGACTGGTTGTGGTTTTCTGTAATCATCTCTTCCTTGATGGGGGGGGGTGAAGACTACACTTCTCTGTGGATATAAAAAAGAATATTTAGAACACAGAGATTATGCTAGCTTAATATAGTGGTGGTTGTATGTTAACTGAAGATCCATGACTTTACTAGCTAGTTTTCCATTACCATACATAATTTCCCTCTTATTTAATGGCTCTTAAATTCAATTAGAGAGCTGTTGGTTACTGCCAAGGTAAAATTGTTCCATTGTGGTCATTGATATGATGGAGGCACCATAACTGGGTAGGACTGTTGGATGCATCTCTCCTTTGGAAGCTTACATAGCACATTGGGGTACCATGTAAGCTAGTCCTCAAGGGGAGGTTTTCAGACAACTTCTCACTCAGAAGCCTCTGGGCCCACTCTTTATTCCTCTCTCCTTCCTTCCCAAGTTTCTGGGCAGTGTGGGCCTCCGCTTCCCTGCACCCCCACTTCTGCCTGAGCTCCTTTGCACCATCACTGGCTTTGTCTCATCATTCCCTGAGCTTAAGATGCTCATGAGTTCTCTGCTGCACCCATGTCTTTTCTCCAGACCACTGTACCTGACAGGAGGAACCTCTTCATCTTTAAGTTTTCTTTTCCTGCCACACCAGGCATCACCCACTTCCTCTGGTTCAGTATAGGCTATACTATACTGAATAAGAAATACCTCCCATGGGCTCTTAATGTCCTGGGCCCTAAGATGGTGGTGCTACCTTGCTAGTTGGTGGAAGGTGAACAGAGCATAGTTGAAGAAAACAGGTCCCTAAAGGGTTTGCCTGAGAAGCAAACTCTTCATTCACAGCCTCTTCCTGCCTTTAGTTCCTCCCTGCTTTCTGGTACCATGCAGCAAGAAGTTTTTTGTAACCACGTGGTCCCCTCTATGTCATTTTTATTGTGCTGCTTCATAGCTTAGAGACAAAGATGTCAACATCCAAAACCAGGAGCCAAAGTAAAACCTTGTTAAGTCCTTTTCTCAGGTGTTGATCACAGCAGCAAAAATGCTCACCAAACCAGGCTCCTTGCCTAACTCACCTTCCTCTGCACAGCTCTGAGACGCAAAGACACCCCCCCCCCCCCCGGCTGTGCTTCTCCTTCTAATACTCTACCATTTATACAGTTTTTGGTGGTAGCATTGGGATCCTGTGAGCTTGGCCCTTTCAATCTGCATGGCACCTGTATCTCTCTCTACACACTTGCTCTTTCTGAAGGAAGCAACTTGCTATTTTAAACTTCTCAGGGGACATTTGGTGTATTACATTAATATCACGCCAAACTTAAGGTGTCCACAGAAATGAAAATTTGAGGAAAAAATTTGATCATCTCAGTAAAAATATACTTAGCATTTTATAGCAGGCAGTACGGTGATGAATGGGCTAGTCTTCTTTATGAACTTCTGAATGAGGGGGTCCCTGAAAACTTGCCTCTGTATCTCTTCTCTGTTTTTTAAGATTTATTTTTTTCTGGAAGATCTGACCCACTTTGACTTTGGTCTCCATGCAATTGACGCCCAGGTCTCTCTCCAGACATGGTTCTGCTTGTCTGTGAGGACAGATTTATACATTTGCTTGTCATCTTCCCCCCAAAATTCAGAGTCTTCATCCTCAGGTGTGAGAGGGTGGCCTCATAATAATCACAGTTGCCTAGGTTTGGTCTCTGAATTCCCTTGTTAACCTCTGTTTTGTATTCATGTCTGCTTATGGTAGGGAGTCTCTGCTGGTTGCCCTGCTCTTGGAGTCTCTAAGATTCCAAGCATGTCACAGTAGGCTATCACAGCTGGTTGCCTTGCTCTTGGAGTCTCTAAGATTCCAAGCATGTCACAGTAGGCTATCACAGCTGGTTGTCTCTAAGATTCCATGCCTGTTTCTCCTCTTTCACCCTCTAGTGTCACTTCAGCTTGAATCAACCATTGTTGATGTGAGGACTTCAACCATTGCTCAGACTGACTTCCCCCTTTCTCTCCGGCTCTCATGGGAAGGGCGGACATCCCAACTGTATTAATGCTATGCTTGAACAGGTGACATTAATGGGACTGTGATGGGTCAGACTTCACACAGCCTTTGAAATGAATTTTCACTATTATATCAGGATTATCATCCTCGTTCTAGGAAGGAAAGTGAAGCCGTGTAGAGACTGGCTCAGCTGTCCCCGGTGAACTACCGATCCATGTCTGAACAAAGGTTTACCATTACTGCGGCTATAAATCCTTCCTTATGTGTGATTGTAATCCTGCCTTCTGGCTTCACCCTGAACCATGTGTTCATTCTGTTTTCAAGGTTAGCTCATTCTCTTTTTGCCTCAGTGGTTACCTCACTGGCACACCCTGAACACACCTGAGTTTCTGGATCCCCATGTCATTCCCATGGAGCTTCATAGGCTCAGAATGTGTGACCCATGCTGCTGCTTTGGCTTTTAAGTGTCAAGTCAAACAAGTCACTGATGCCTTCCTTCCATAGGCCCCGTGTCATTTTCATCAGCACCACAGTGATCTCTGCTTCTTTTCCATTCCACCCACACCCACTTTCAATTGGTAACACTAGTTTGTGTGCTGGCCTTCCATTTCTCCCCAGCACACCACACCACCCTCCTCTGGCTCTCAGGGAATTTGATTGTAAGCTCTCTGTTTATTTTGTCAGAAGAGCGTTTTCTTCACTTTTCTACTTTGAAAAGAGTCAATGTGTTACGATGCACACTCTAACCTTAATTTGAATTGACTTGAGAAAAGCAGGCTGCCTTTCCCCCAACGCCTGGAAACATTATCTAGAGCAATGGCTTTGGATTTTAGACTGCTCTGTGTCCCGAGGAAGCTAGAGGTCCTGGGGAGAATTCTTTCTTGAGCACTTCACTGAAGGAGGAACACAGGGTCCTGTGAAGTCCCAGCTCCACGTGAGGCCCAGAGCTCTGTTTCCTGGGGAGCAGGGTTGCTGAGACCAGTGTTGACCCAGACATTGGGGCAGCAGCTACTGCCAAGCCAGGGCACATCACAGACAAGTTAGAGTCCTTAAGCAAGTGTGTCAGTGAGTTCCATGAGCTGCCTTTTATTATTTCCATTGGGTTTTCACTGCAGAGTTTATCTCATTTGTCTGTTCATGGGTGTGCATGAGTGCACGCACCAAGGCACACCAGTGGTAGGCAGAGGATATGTTGAGAAAATTGCCCTTTTCTTCAACCATGGGCAGCCCTGGGTTGACACTCAGGTTTGCAGGCTTGGCACTTGCTGCCGTTACCCGCGGCACCATTGTACCAGCCCTGTGCTGTAGTTTCAATCCGCACATCAGAAAGGAGCCCAGGGAGATCTCATGCTCATGGCTTGTTTGCCGTGAGAGCTGCATTACACCTCCCCTCTGCTATTGGGGTTCCCAAAGGGAAGGGTTCCACGTAGAAGAAGAGGCTCCCAGTAGATACAGCAGTGCCTCCTGCCCCCACCCAGGCGATGGTTGCTGTCCCGAGATCCACGCCCCCCCCCCAAGCACACACCTCTAGAGTGTTTGGGCAGCTGACCTCTTCTGGTTTTGGTGACCCGGAAATGTCTCTTACAGGCATTGGCAGAGTCATTCGGGCTGTGACAAACATCTGTACTTGTTAGTGCACAGTACGTTTCTTTCCCAGTGAGTCCCCTGACATGACCCTATACATTTTACTTAGTGTTTCTTTATGAGACGCTTTGAGTCTCAGAAATAACTGCTTTTCTAGAAGAAGACACGGGAATCTGATAGGCACCAAGATAGTTAGCCCCGGGCAGGTGGCATCCCAAGTCCCAGCCTCACTGTGCTTGACACAGCTGACAAGGTTCCATGTTGACTCACCCAGGGGTCTTCTGGAACCTTGCTACAGGTGAAGCCTGTTTCAGACACTGGGGCTCTGAAATCTATGGAGGACTAACTGGTTTGCTGTGACTTACTCTCTCAAGCTAAGGGAAAAGACAGGTTTATAAATGAACAGCTTCTTAGCTGTGCATTGAGTATTCTGCCCATCACATCAGATTATATTATTGTACAGAAAGTAAAAAATAAATGTCTGCTTCCATATTGTAGCTTCACCAGCTACAGCCAGAAAAGTGCCACGTGGTTGGAGATGTGTGTTTCTATATTGCTTATTAAATTGTGTCTTTCTGTAATGTATAGTGGCCTCAAGTGGCCCTATAAACACACACACACACACACACATGCATGCACACATACATAAGCACAAGCTTATACACCAACATGCAAGAGTTCATAAACATACAACTTTATATTTTTATCGTTATTATTTGTAAATAGGAAATGAAGTTACCGTCCTTGAAATTATAATGGCAAGCACACAAAGACACAGTTGCTGGCACAGAATTCAATTAAGAGATAACAATCGCCCCTTGGTGACTGCGTGAGGTAGAAATATACAGGCATGCTAATAAGTCATATCTTAAAGCCACCGTGTTTATCAGCCAGCAGCCAGACATGGGCACAAGCGTGGGAAGACAGGGCTTGCTCTGGGATATTTAATACAAACCAGCTCTCTCCATTTAAGGATTTGTGTTTAATCATTCAGCAACATTTTAAAACATCCTGGCTGGCGAGCTTCTCAATCGGAACTGCTTGCTTTAGGTTTTTGCTCCACCTGGTTGAGGAGGAGCGGGAAGCACACGTTCAGTGATAAGCAATCTGCGTTTGTATTGTCAGAGGCTCTCTTTTTCATTTTCTGACCTTTGAGCTGTGTTTGCGTGCCTCTGCCATCAGCTCTGGACAAAGAAGCCTGCAGAAGGCACTCATTAGCACGCTAGCCAGATGACTGACTCCATAGAATAAGCTTTCCCTAGTAGACACTCGGTGTTGTTCATAGCTAGACTGTTCTAAGCGTGGACTTTAAAATTGCTTAAAGATGAACATGGGGAGGGTGCAAAAATAAGAACGTTTTCTGTTTCTCTTTTATCACTCTTATAAATGGAGATAATTGTATACCAGGTCAAATACATTCTGTAAGTGCCTGTCCAGATAGATTGTACTGACTCACAGTATAGAGCAAAGGAAGGCATCCATGCTCTGTGGGCATGGAACACTCTTCCCAGAAGGACAGGGTGGGTCTTTATCGAAGGAAGGGAACCCCTTGTATTTGACAAATAGGAAAATGGTCTTATATTGGAGCAATCCAGGAGCTATATTTTTGGCTGCCAAGATTAAAGCCTTCATCTCACAGAATGGTTCAGGAACAGCTAGTCTACTGGCATCTAGGTCATGCAATTTGCCTGAAGGTGTTATGTCGCATTTGCTATGAGCAGCTGCCTGGGGGAATCTGCTGGCTTAGCAGATGGTTGTGCTGGGAGAGTAGCCTCCATTCGGTGCCTTGAATCAATCACACGCTTTGCAAAGCCCTCAGTTCTTCAAAGTGTACAAGGAGCTTGAAGAGAAAAGTGGACATGAAAGGAGTAGGGTGGCTACAGACAAGGCAGAGGAGACTGTGGCCGTCTACTCTAGCCCCTCTCCAAGCACATGGACCTTTCTACTCTTTCTCTTTTCAAAGTAAGAGGAAGGAAAGTTGCTGTAGACTTCAGATGCATAATGGATTTTATGCTATCAGGAGGTGAAGCAGCCAAGCCTTCAGCCCAAGCCGTTAGAGAGGGTTTGAGGCTGAACAATCATTTGTCATTTTCTGCCTGACCAAACCAAGACCAGCTTCCAAAACCTGAGGTCTTGTTCTTTGCCTGCACATCTCAGTGACCCTCCTCACTGGAAGACCTGTCCTGGGAGATGCTGGTCTCTGCAGTGTGTCAGAGTGATCACTGAATGAAGGAGATGGGTCCTATCCACGTGGCAACCCAAGCCCAGTGCCAGCATTTGACCCAGCATCTGTGGTACCCGACCCATCCATTAAATATGGTTGTGTGAGTCCAAGGTTCGCTCTACTGAAGTCTAGAAGGTTCTGTTCTAGTCACATGAAGACACCATGGCCTGTGCTTGATCCCAAGTCTTTGCAGAATTTCTAAACTCTGCCTTCTGCAGTTCAACCCAGCATGGTGTGGTCAGTGACAAGGGAGGTCACAAAGGAACCAAAGGGAGCTTTTCCTCTGAGATGATAATTACATTTCCCTCCTTCTCCTCTTTCCAAACCCTCCCTATACCTCTACCCACTCTCCTTCAAATTCATGGCCTCTTTTTATTGACTGTTAATGCATACATATATGTATATGCACACACACACACATATATGTATATTTCAAAATGTAAACTGCTTACTCTGTATGTTATTGTAGGTATATTTCCAGGGATGACAGTTTGGCACTGGACAACCAATTGGAGTGCTCTTCTCTGGGCATGACCACCTCTCCTGTTCCCAGCATTCCTCAGTTTCCTACAGTTCTTTATACAGAGTTGAGACTGTGTAGACTTCTCCCTGCCCACCTTGGCATGTCTATTGGTATTGTCCTTGTTCAGCTTACAGTGCTTATAGACTGCTTTCCTTTTTTCCAGTGTTCTAAAAGGTACAGCTAGAGCTGTGCACTTCTTGTAACTCTTGATGCAATGAAGCATTTACAAAACCCCTGTGATCCTCAAAAGAACTAAGTGGTGTGGGCTTATATGGTGTGGAGAAAAAAAGGTGGGAGAGGGCCTGCACTTACTGGGAAAGTGGGCTGTGTTTGAAATCTCTTTGGATTAAGTGTTGAAAACAGGATGAATCAGAGAAGGTTCAGTAGAGCACATACTGCTCACCTCAAGGACCTGAGTTCTTGGGACTCATGTCAGCTCACAACCAGCTGTCCCTGCAGCTCCAGGGACCTGATGTCCTCATCTGGCCTCAGCCTGCACGTGCACTCATGCACACCCACACAGAGACGTGCACACATACATATAAGATTTTAAAAAGTCTTTATCAGTGATGTTTTTGGCCATTTTAAAAAATTTTAACATTATTAATTTCTTTATATGTAACTAGATTGAATTATAAGCACTCTGCTCTAAATGGACCAGTACTGGTAGAATTACTCACAATTAAAATGCACATACCCTAAACATTAGTCAAATTAGAAATCTGAGCAGTTAG